ACCTTGAGCAATGGTGTTCTGACTCTGCCCTGCAGTAAACTCAGAACTCCCTAACGCACGTCCCTTTCACCACTTATGAGTCACTGATGGAACTTCCATTTCCCCCTCCTTTCTCTCTTCCTTCTACAACTTGTTAGTATGTACTGATACACCCATTTTTTTGCAACACAAAAGAGATCTGGCCATTAGGCTTTAAAAGGTAAAGAAGTTTCTTCAAATAAAAAAAAAACATTAGCGTAACAACAAGATTTTCCAACTTTTAGATTTCCTTCTCCTTAGCATTTCAGTTTGATTTGTACACTTGTTCTGGTCTACAAGAAGAGCACATCAATACTGTGGTAATATAAATAATATGATAACTTCTAGAATGGTTTCAATTACAGTCTTTCCCGACTGTAGCTTATCATTAGCACATATCTGAGCTTTGCTTCTCAGAATCCTTGCAATTTAAAGTAAAAACTACACAAAATGTAGTGCATACTAATGCTCCTTTAAAAAAAAGTATAGGCTTTGTAGGACCCCACTTTCTTTTTAGATCTAAAATACACGTTCTGTATTTGAATGTAATTCAGAAATACTCCAAGCTTTCACTACAAGATAACTATACTGATGCATTAAAAAAATCTTTAAATTTCTGGAGTTATTCAAAAATCATAATGACAATCTGCCATTAAGACAGCCACATTACTTAGCCATGCAAATTTTCTTATTTTAAGTAGTTATACTGCAGGTTACACCATGTACTACATTATTTTGGACCACTGAATTGGCAAATTATGTTACCTGGAAGATTGTCATGCAGCCATACTGAGGTAGATATATTTGCTATCTGCCTTGTTCTTTTAACAATATGTGTTATTCCCCCAGTACGGGTAAAAGCCTTCTTTTTTCCAAGTTCTGACCTACAGCATTCTTTAGAAGAAATTACCAAGAAAAGAAAATGGAAACACTTCTGGAAATACAAGACTCATAAACCGAATGCTGAGCATTAACACATCCTGAATGTTACTTCAGTGATTTCTTCCAGGAATACACATTTCAGTACTTCAGCAGTGAAGTTTTCTCCCCAGCGTTAGTGAAACAGGTGTGATTTAGTCACGTTTACCAATTAACATTTAAAATGTACTTTAGAGAAAAGGAATTGACAATTTGCCCTACAGATACAACATACAAAAGTTAAATTTAATTTTTAAAAAGTATCTTATCACCCTTTATTTTCAGGTGCTTCACAATGATATGACAAAATAAAGTATCACAATCAGTTTTATGTAAACAAAACATTAATATAAGTTTCAAATATCTATATATCTAATACAATCAATCATAAATAAAAAACATGCATTAAAACTATTTCTATATTATAAAATATCATGATGTGACCCAGTTCTTTAAGACATTGGATTTTTCACAAACATATAACATCGTATAAAAATAACAGCATACATTCTTACCGTTATTATGTTATTGTATTAGTGCATTATGAAAGAAACTTTAAGAGACTATTAATGGTACATTTGAGAGGCATTTCGAAGTGTTTCACTATAAATTAATAAAACCATGTCTTGCAATGTAACTTTTTCTGGGTACTTATGTTAATTTTTCATTGTTTAACAGGTTTGCACATTGGGTCTGAAATCTCAAAGAGGTCAAGTCAGGCACATATATTTAAAACAAGAACTCAAAAGCATGGCATAATGTAGATTAGAATTTGGTTTTTCAAAGCCATTGCATAGCACCTTTACTATAAATTGTTAATACAGAGATGTGGCTACAGTTCCTTGCAGCTGTCTGGGACAAGCGATCTGTAGACCATTATCTAAAATGTGGAGGTTCACATGTCTGAACTGAAGAGGGCAGGCACCTTTTTAGACTTGGCAAAGAAACACTTCACAAAATGGCAGCTGACTAATAAAGACTCACAGTCACCATTCCACTATTTGTACAAGAGCAATCAGTAATCTGATTTGGGCTGCCTTCATTTCAGCAAATACACTCCAAACTTTTCTATAACAGCCTGCATCTTTTTTGGTACCTCTAGAAATTCCTCCCATCATGTGTCCCACATGGGTGGACAAGATGATGACTGACTGTAATAGTTTATGTTAGCGAAGAACTATTATGTCACATTCCAGGTTTTACTAAAAAATTCCTTCCCACTACTAAGAAATTTATGCTCCAGGGCAGAGAAATACCAACTGAGAGATTGATAATGGTATTTCTGAAAGCAGAGAACACATCCAGACATGATATAAAACTGTACGTACTTCTCTTTTGGCCCACTTTCTTTGGCTGCAGATAGGGAAACAGTCGTCTTTAGATATATCTGTTTCAGTGCCAAAACCCAAGCCTCTGATTTTAGTCCTAGCTTTTCAACTGTGTGGAGCTATTAAACAAAACCTGCTGACAGAAAACATACCAAAAAAATTACCCTGTCTTGTAGAGAAGAATGAGAAAGAGAAATCTCAACTGATGAAAAAACTAAGCTAAAAAGTTGACAGCAGTAGGCAAACCCTGTAGTGGAATAAACCTGTGCAGGCTCGCTCCTCTTGTCCACCAAGAAGAAATAACACAGCTCAAGGATACCATTTTATGAGCTCTAGAACTGTATTCCTCATCCTGTTCATTCATCAAAGCGGACAGGAGCAATAATTTTAAGTTATGTCCCAGAAAATGTATCTAAGACTTCTGAATGACAATTTAACTCTGAGGTATAGTTCTATTACAGTTTTGCCCTAAGGAGTAATTTGAGACTGAAATACCACCTAAGGACAGCTTTGTGTGTCATGTCCGTTTACAGCAGAACTTGTAAAATCAGAGGTTGTAATGCAAACCGCTTGCATCAAACACTGAATTCTTGACTATCTACCACCAAGGAGTCCAACGTAACTTCTGCAGACTGGGCACTTTCATTTGTATCATGAGATTTGAGCAGTAATGCCCTTAAAGCACAGAAAGGGCCAGACCAGCTTTTGGCACTGCAGGTGGAGGGCAATCTTTTAAGGTCTACCCTTGCCTGGAAAGGGCAGACATGCTTGTTCCTTAACAGTCATCCAAGGTAGCTCCTTCTCCCTGCTCCCAGAAGACTAATTCCTCTGCATAGCTTTCCACTATGTACTCAAAAAAGTCACCCCAGTAAACGCCTACAAAATCCATGCAAACCTGCATCATCTTACCTTTCTTGTTGACTTGTGGTAGCGTATCATTCAAAGGACATAAGATAGAATTTAAATAGAATCTAGGAGCAGAGCAGATGGTTTTTCCTTTACTTTTTGTATCCAGAATCTGATCAAAGGGAGACAGATAATACAATTTCTGCCATCCAGTCTTGCACTTGAAAACGATCATTTCTTCACCATTTTCACTTCCTACCTTATGTCTTCATCTGTTTCGCTGGAAATGGTATATAAAGCCCAGCCATCTAATTTTTCTACTGCTCTCTCTGTGATGGAACACTAAACGTGTCTTGTCCAGGATGTCTGTGAAGATTGATTTAATATCGTCTGAGTGCTGCCTGAATTCTGACAATTTCCTGGGCCTTAAAAGATGATTGAAGAAACAAAACACATTAAATTCTAAGTCAGTTGTCCCAAGCAAGTCTAGCTAATAGAATTTTTCTTCTTTAAACTTCACATTTACCGACTTCACCCTCCGTTGGACTCTCTATAAAAAAGCCCAAGACTTTGCCTGAAATTTGGATTCCAAAATATCAATACTTATCTGTCCCTGAGTGTTCATAAAAGCCATACTTATTCCTTTGCTCATTCATCATTTGTGCCTTGTACACATTCCATTGTGCAGTATCCCCTCACAATTTCTGCTAGTCTCACAGCGACACTAGGAATACTCTTTGCCTATATTTCCCTAGGCATTTGCCTTTGCATTAGCAGCCTTAGAAGAAGGAATCAGGTTGTAAAATCTCTTTTATGGAGAAAAGGAGCAAATATCCCTTCATACCCCAGCGCTGAGAATATGTGCATATGAAGCAGCATTTCTTTTCAGGTTCAAGTCGTCTAACCAAACTATCTGTTTGTACAGCTTGCTCTTGCTTCACACTCTCAACTTTCCAACAAAGCACATATTTTCATTAACGGAAAGATAACAGAATTCAACAGATGGAAGGACAAACTACCAGCAAAGTGTCTTTATGCAGTTTATATATTAGGGAAGTGCCACAGTAGATACAGGTGAGATTACCTCTAGGCAGCAGGCCGATTATCATTGTGTACCGATACTGAGTTGCACTTTGTTCAAGGAAGACCACCAGATCTAGTTCAGCCCTTATAAGAGTATTTTGAAGAGAAATGGAGGATGAACAGGAGTGATATATGCAATGATAAAAGCAGTGTTCGAAAGTTTCATCTTAGGAAACGTAACCAATTTCCAATTTCATTCTTATGGAAAAAAGACAGAATTTCACAGAAATCCTGCCAAGATCGACGGATATTGCATATAAAGTTTTGGGAAGAAAAAGCTGGCTGCCTATTACTTGTCAGCGCTTTAAACCTTGAAACTACAGGTTTCCAACTTCCTAAACATTGCTAATACATTCTACATAAATTCAAACTGTATCAGTTTCATGGACGAAGGAATTTGAATACAGTTCTTCAAATTAGGTGAAAACTAATGCATAGTCTATAAATCATGTTTTAGGGATTAGTGGTATGTTTCTTCCCAACTTAAGTGACATTCAAACACACAAGAAGCATGCAGGACGGGAAGTTGTTTCCATTCACCTTTGTGAAAAGAGGCAAACAACAACAGACTTTGCAATGAAAAAAAAGTGACTTGTTTACACAAGCATTAAAGATAATGCTATTTGTATGATATAACAACCCACATTTTAAGGGTACTCAGACCAGTAAGAAGTTGCACTTCATTCCAGAGCTGAAAGAAAAAAGACAAAGAAGCCTCTGCAAACCCCATCCATCACATTCTTCTTTCAGATCAATGAATATCTGAGCCGAAGTATAGAGGTATGTTTACATTTTCAAATATACTTTGTGAAGTGACATTTATTAACAGCTTGGCACAGAGAAACCTCTTTGCGAGAAGACACTGACAAATCTCATGTTCTCAGTGTCTCACTAATGACACTGACAATGAGTGAATTCTCATTGCTTGTAAGTATTGAGAAACAAAATATTCACTGAACAGAATCATGTAAGTCAATAATACAAATTGGATATAAGAAAATATCTGATTAAATTATACCTCGCAGAGTATGTATTGTAAGAATTATTCCTTCCCTTCTTCCCTCCCCCTTATCTGTAATACTTTGTGAAGATTTGTAAGCAGATTTGTCTTAGCTTCTAGTACTGTACATATCCACATCTTCTGGGCTGGACTGACCATGGTCCATAAGTTTTGGATCAGGCTTAAATTTTGGTGTCTTCACTGCTCCTGTTAGAGATATTAAAAAATTTTAATTTAAATTAAAAAAAAAAAATATATATATTTGAGCTGTAGAAAAAAAAGCTTATTGACACATTTTGAGAATTACTGTATTACCAAACACTTATAAAAGATCAAAATACATATATTCTAGTTAAAAACTGTGTGATAAAGGACGATGAAGGCATGTTGTAATTATTAGCATACAGCAGTGGACGGAGAGCAGGTCTTCCATCTACTCTCTATACTTTAATGCTATGTCCTGAACACAGCAGGGTGAGAGAAGAAACAGCGATGTTTTGCCCTAAGCATAGAAAGGAAGGGAAAGTTTGGAACACGGGAAAAAAAAATCTCCAGTCTTTCTTCCCCCACTGCTTCCAGGAGCATAGCTGTCTCCCCAAACCAACTGAATCAGTATCTTCCCTGAGGCTGCTGCCAGATGGTAAGAACTCCAAATTAAGACAAACACTTTTACCTAGTTTCACTTTGTGACTTCCAAAAACAATGAACATTGAGCCCTCACACTCATCCCAAATGACAACGCACAAAGACTGACATACTTAATAGTACTGAAATTGCAGAAGACCTAAGAGAATATAAAGGCAGGTTTTCCAGGACTGTGCCTCCCCTGCTACTGGTCAGCTTCTTTTCCAGCTGTATCAGTTGGTTTAACAAAGGGTGCTGTGTTCTCCTGAAAGTTTTGCTCCTTTTGGACTAGTGAAAATAAACATCTCTGACAATACAGATTAATTTAGGGCATGGACATTTTTGGCTGTATTAGGGACATGAACTAATTCCACCCATGAAAGCAAAGACAGAAGGTATCTATATTCATAAAACCATTAAAGACAGTCTTGCCTGACGTGAATGTAAAATCAGATCAAAGCATTCCACAAACTAAATCAGAAAAAATACAGGTGCAAAGCAAAGAAAGATGTGAATGTATATTACAGTGAAAATAAAGGAAAAAAAATTTAAAACTCCATACAAATATGTTGTACTAGCTTTCCAGAAAAAAAAAAAGTTCTGGTAAAGAACACAATAAAAAGAAGTAAGCAAGTTCAAGTGATGAGTAAAATTCAGAAATTGGTCCTACAAAAGTTAAAAATTTTAAAACAAATTTAGTTCTCCTTTAATAGGTAATTCCTCTCTTTCTCTTAGCAGTTGGCCTATCAAAACATCTGCATGTTAAATATGCTGTTACATGATCTAGTCTTATTATCTCAACCACTGAAGACACACAAAGAACACCACTGCAAAAAAACCATATCAAGATAAAGTCCAATGCTTCATGTGCCAATTTCGTGTTCCTCTCTTACCAGTACCTGAAGACACAGAACCCCTACAGAGAAATGAACAGTAATTCATATCAGCTGTTTTCACAAAAATCCAGTGGTAATCCTTTAAATGACACTTATGGTACTCTGACAACAGAAAGATAATTTAAACGAGGTATTTAACAGCAGTACTTGATGATATAATCTCATTGCTAACAATATGGGATATGGTCCACACCATATGGAACGAAAGAAAACATTACTGAGAGCGAACAACAAATATGTAAGAATTCTGATACTGGGACAAGGTCCACAGTGAGAAAATGATCACCTCCCTGAGGCCCTGAAGTATGACAGTGTGCACAATATATTCTCCAGAATGACATGCTGTGACAGTCTGCTCCATCTTAAAGCAAAGGTAACCATAAACTTAAGTCAAGTAATTGGATTTGCAAGTTGCCCTGAGATTACACTTGAAATGTTTAATTCACCTGGTGAAGGCACTGGATCTTTATTACTCCAAGACTCCATTGGAGAAGATTCTGTTCTGTTAAATGATCTTGACTCAATAGCAGACTCAGGTTTTGTACTAGAAATGTCTTTCTTTTTCTTATCTTCTTGTGTAACTGATTTTGACTCTTGCCGTAGCTGTGAACCAAACATTAATTAAAAAAAAAATGCACATGGGTATATGCTTAACACATTATTGCAAAATAAAGCTTTCAAGTCTGAAAGCTTATCTTTTATGAAATTATTTTCAGATATGACATCATACAAAGATATTCAACTAGTAATGTTAAAGTTGGCTGCATGCAAGCGATGCAGCCGGAAAAAATAACTCCACAGTTCAAGTACAGTAACTTCAAATTCACACATACAGAAATTCACCTTGTCACGAGAACATACTCACGTCTGATCCTGTGCTTTTACCTGAGACCCTCAAAGTGCTTCACAAGGAAGTCACTGCTCATTCACAGCTGAGGAACCTCTAGTCTTACACACAGCTGAAATAGCATTGAGTTTTTACAGAACACTTCCCACCCTTAGTTAACAGAAGATGGCAAGATAAACCATGGTAACACCCTACCAATGAAAAATAGTACATTGCTTTGGGAACAGGCCTCACATAGGGAAAAAAAATAAAGTTAACAGAACTTGTCTTTACCCCATCAATTCTTGTTTGGCTATCAGTTCAATGACATTTATCTGAATTTCATTTTCAAAAATCAGAATTCCATTCGTGTCTCCCAGTGGAAATAAAAGATGAGGATCGCATACAAATAAACACCATAAATTTAAAAGTAAAATACTTCTAAATGTTAATATTACTGAGAAATATTCATTTTCTTTAAAAAGAGCAAAAAGATCACTGTGCAAAGCTGAATTTTTACTCAGGGAAGTACTTCTTTTGTAAAGGGTTTATAAATTTAAAACCATGTTTAATTCCGGGATGTACTAACCTAAATTCCATATAACTTACAGGAGGTTAATATTCCCCTCTACTTAGTGCTGGCAAGGCCTCAGACGGTTTACTATGTCCTGTTTTGACCACTTCACTTAAAAAAAACAAACAATACAAACCACAAACAAAATCCCTAAAAATAAAAAAACGAGAGAGAGAAACTAGAGAAAGCTCAGAGGAGAACAGGAGTTGAAAACCTGCTCCACAAGGAACGGTTATAATAGGGAGAAGATAATGTCAAAAACCATCATAAATTTTTTGTATGCAATAGGTCAATATAAAGAGGTTACTGACCATTTATTCACTACGGCTGCAGTGAGGACAGGACAAGGGGAAAAAAAAAAAAAAATCAGACATGGACAATTTATATCACAGGGTAATTAAAAGAGACTACCTGGAAGAGTTGTGTAATTTCCTTCACTAATACGCCATACCTCTTATAATTCTTTATAAGTCTTTATCTTAAACTCAGTGGTCTGCTTAGGACCAAAGCTTGGATCAGAATGGATTACTTCTGTCAAGATCAAAAACGAGCTGTAAGAGAAACTCACTCTTCTCTTGTGCATCTTGCACGTATTGTGGGGCTATTTAGGGGATCTCAACATCCATTGGTCTGAAAGGTGTGACAAATACGACATCAATTAAGTTACAAAAATATCAGAGGGAGGTTTGTGCATCACTTAACGCCATCGGTAATCTTAAACAGAACCTGCAGTATAGTACTTGACCTTCTAGTTTACATTTTTCTTCCTTCGAATTTATGAATTACAGTCAATGCTTCAGAAAGCCTACCTTGGTGACATCTTCCTTTTTTGCCCACAGTGACCGCACAGCTTCGTAGCTTTGATGGCTTGCAGAAAATAACTTTTTCCCCGTTACCTATTTTTTTAGAAAAACGTCTTTTAGCAACAACTTTAAAATTACTAAGATGCACAGACCACTCAAATGTAATGCATCGTATTTGCATGAGAACATGCTTAACCCCATACTAAGACATTTTAATCATCTACTTTTCAAGATCTAGTGCTTATTTCTCTTACATCAAGCAAATCCTAAATAATGTTTACATTGTTATTAGAAATCCACAGGTAGCATTCCTACGCTACATCCACCTACTCAACATGAAACCAAAACCTGACCAGCAAACAGTGTTTTGGCAATGTTAGCACAGTAGATCGGAGCAGCAGTTTTAAAGGATCCAAACTTGTCTCACTATGTTGGAAACAGTCAAAGACACAAAAGAGCCCCAAAAAATGACCTCGCCCATGTTAGTGAGCAGCACTTTGCTTTACAAATGGCCAAATCCTTCAGCCCATTTTCAAAAAGTATTATGTAATACTGCAGTAACTACAGAGTACCTTTACAAATGCTCTGTACAAACACAGTACTTCACAGCTGCAACTACAAAAAAACTGTGCAAAAGGTGACACACAGTGTAAGCAGGCAGGAAACAAGGGGTTAGCTTCCTGAGATAGGTCATAGTGTACAGTGTAGCATTCCTGTTCATTTCTCCATCTTCCAACCCTGACATTTAAGCCTTATGACAATGAGCCAAGAAATCCCACTGCCTCTTGAGAAACCATAATCCTCATTGATTTGCATGTAAGAAAAAAACCTAAACCAGACCAGTTTAGCAAAGTAAGATTGCCCAAAGATTTTAACAGCAGTATAAGTCTTTGCAATATCTTCCTAACCACTCAGGAAGCATAAAAAACAAAACCACCCCACTAAAATTAATAACAGCAACAACTGATTCATCATGATGGAAAGTTAGGAGATTCAACAGCAGTTCTTTTAAAGCAGATTTCAGAATAATATTCTACAAATCTTTCTGTCAAAACCTAAATCTGATCACTTAACTAAAAGATTGTTAACTCCTAGAACCAAACATGACTAACTAAACCAAATATTCCTATCTCATCAATTTAACACCAAAGTGCAGTTTTGAAGCTATAAATACTATAAAGAAACTACAAAGTCCATCAAGGAACTACAAAGAATTCTTATGAACTAGCATGTGCTTTTCTAAATAGTGAAACACTGGGAAACTATAGAGGAAGAAGAGGTATATAGACTTTATATCCTGCTTTTCAATTTACTTTTTACATAGAAAAGTACTGTGTGCAAACAATTCTTACATGCAAAATGTTAAGTATAGTTCTGGTTTTCTACATGAACAGCTAAGACATGTTCTAATCAGGCAGACAACTGCAAGACACCAGTAACTGGAAAACAAGGAATTCTAACAAGAGATGCAATTGTACAGTATCTCAAATTGCATATTTATCACGTTCAGCAAGGCTTTATTTTTTATTTACATTTATTTCAGCATGATAAAATAATCTTAATTTATTTGAAAAATAAGGATTAAAAATTGAGAGGCTGTGTTTTTAAATTCAGTTATTTTATTATATTTTTATAGTTATGCAATTAACACCTGTGATGCATTACATGTTTTAATGAAGATGCATGTGAATTCTGACTCCTAGTTTCATGATACTTAAGTGAAATGGGAATGCCATGACTTAATTCCCTGTCAATTCAACATTAAAATACAAGTAAACTTACCTTAGCAACTATGACTGACTGAGCAGGGTAACAAACAGAAATTCCTAAAGTAGTAAGTCCCAATGGATAAGCAATTTTCTTAAATCTAGAACCTGTATAAAGCCAAATATTTCAAACCATTAGACACTAATGTAATGTAAAGCTAAGTAGTTGTATCAATTAAATGCAATTCTTTACATCAAACTTAGCACCGTAACGGCTGGAGGAGAGAATACAGGTGTGATTATAGTTTAGTGCAGTCACGTTTGCAGGAGATGCTGACATTCTGAACATTGGTTTCTTGAATGAGAAATAATCACAAACCAGATTTTCCAATATTATGAAAAATGAGAAGAATGTCTGTGCCTTCTAGGAGCTGATGTGGTTCCTCACTAGCTCCACGCACTCTCTCTCGAGGACACAGATTGCACCATTTGGAACAGCCAGGAGCCTGGGAACTGGGCCTTTCTGTTCAAATGTGAGAACAGCTGGGCCAGGCTCAGGCTCCTGTTCGTGGACAAGAAGCCCTGACGACAGATTCTCAAGTCCAAGTCTTTTTTTTTTTTAAATTTGTCCCCCCAAAAGTCACAGGGATACAAGAAGAATGCTTTCACTAATCTGCCAATATTTTGATTAACCCATTTTCTTTGTGAAATACTCAGACACACACACTCAGCTATTACAGATGAACATTTTCTTAACAATATTTTCTGGCAGGTTAAGTAGTATTCCTCTAACACTTATCTTGAAAGGAGAGGTGGCTGTATCTATTAAATTACTCTTTTGGCTTCAAAGGTGCGAAAACTATGTCTTCTGATGTGTATTCTCTTGTACCTGTTAGCCAAATGCCAACATTCTTCAGCATCTTAAACTCCCATTTTCACTATACTCAATAACTTTGCCTGTTAATTTGTCTCAAATTTCCTCCCATACACACATTGTTTCTGATAACCAGTAACAAACAAACTCAAAACAAGTGCCCACTTTGAATTTCTGCTGATTCCACCATTAAAAATGACTATATAATCCTGCTCTGCCTATTAGGTCTTAGCCAGCTTCTAAAAGTATTTAATAATGTCCCTTCAATTTATCAGGAAGGATTTTTTTTTTAACATTGGTTACATAGGTCTTTGCCTATGTTTCAGAAAAGTCTTCTGACCATTAAAGCATTACATGCTACATATTCAACACACCAACAATGAAAATAAGCAAAACCCCCTACCTCTTCTTGCCAGCACTACGCCAGCTAAGCCTGATATTGTAATTACACCAACTTTGGGAAGAAATTCTGGTGGTGGATTCTTCAGGTACACATAGGCATCTTAGAATTAAAAAGAAAAAAAAGAAGCATAGCAATTCAATATTAATCCTTTTATTTCCCACTTAAGAAATAAAGACGGAAGTAAAATTATGAAAATCTAAAACGGGAAACAGTCCAAGACTGGATTTTTTGTTAATGAATGAGGATGCCTTATTTTCCAGATGCACACTTTGCAGTCTGTGTTAGACAGAACCAGAACCACAATCCTCAAAACACAGCAGCAAAATTAACAATTTCTCTCCTTAGATATTTTTTTTTGTAAAACGTTAGTCCTTAATAAGGAAAAATGAAAGCATAGTTACCAGTTTTGATTTTACTGTGAGTTAGTATAGATTAAATGAGACAACACATATTTTTGAATCTCCCAATATACTAGTTTTAAGGAAAAAAACTTATCTATAGTTTCTGATACTGAACTTGAACACAAATATTGCTTGCAACTTGTGCTAGAATTAAGAAGCTGTTTCTATAATTAAGATATCTTGTGGAATTTCCATCCCAGCAGATGGTTCAAGACCTGACGGGACAGAGATGTCCGCAACCTGCTTTGGCCCTGCTTTAAGCAGGCGATTGGACTAGATGATCTCTAGAGGTGCCTCTGCAGTAGAGATCTATACACAGTCCAACTGCAATGATTCTGTGATACCATGATTTTAAGAACAAAGCTAAAATCAAAAGAACGAGAAATACTAATTAGTATCGGTCATTTCTCTCATGTGAGAACAGAAAAACTCCACAGCGAATTGACAGTGGTCTCAGGTTTCCGCCGTCACGTTGCGTTAAGTATTCCAGTGCATTCCCCTTCCACCCTCTCCCCCTCCTCGCCCCTGTAACCAGTTTCAACTACCTTTCTAAGTTGCAAGGAGAAACAACAGAAGATGCTCAATTCCAAAATATCTGACTTGCCTACCTTTTCCAAATTGAATTGAATCCATTACTCCATTTTTAATAAAGATAAAAGCATCCTACCAAAAAAAACAAGGGGAAAAAAAAAGTAAAGCCTTTGCAAAAGTAGGTGTTTTCAGTACAAAACTACTTGGTTGATACATACGGCTCAGCACAGTAAGACAAAGAAATATTACATAATTTTAAAACGATAAAACCAGAGCCGTGCCATTCTAGAGAGGCTCTGCTGAGATCTAGCCGCTTTTTGATTAACATATTTATATTTTTAAAGCTCCCATCCATATTTAATTAAAAAAATGCTCTTTAATATAGTAAGATCAACTGACATCTCAGGAACAAAACTGTAGGACAGCAAAACATCTGGATGTCAACTGTGTAACGTAAGAACATTCAATTATAAAATGCAATCGTCTTTTCCCTGGAGAGACTTACCCAGTAAAAATGATTCTGTCTTTTAGTTTGTAAAAATAGTGCTCAGTTTCGCTGAAGACTAATCAATGTCGATTTGGTTCAAGACGTGTACTCAACTAGTTTGCATTACTCCCTTCCAATTGGTCAATTTATTTAATTACGAGTTGTTCTTTATCTGGAAAAAACCTGCTACTAGCCTATTATTAGTATCATTATCCTCAGATTGCTGAACAAATTGAGTAAATACGCATTCTTTAGGAGATAATGAAAAAGAATGTCATCTTGAGTTATTTCACCAAAAACATTTGCAGCAACAAAGCATTTGTACCACCAGAGGTCACTGCTAGTCAGTCTCAGAAGCACTCTGATGATTAAGGGTATGGAAAAGTTTGATACAGATTTATAACTAAATTATCTCAGTTATGCAGTCACTGACTGAATTTTCAGACCAATGGAATAAAAATTTACAGAAATTATAGAAAGACATTTTGATTTCTTTGCCTTTTTCAAATAATAGGGTCTACTTTGTAAGAGAAAAATACATGCATAAAATTTCATACTAACAAGAGCCAGGGTAAAGTTGTCATTTACCAGCAGTGAAGAGAATGGTGACAGGCACTGCATTTTCTTCTATGCCTAGAACAGTCAACAACAGAGTTGCGAGGTATTTTTGATGACTAGTTACTAACAGCCTGCTGTAACAGTTACATTGGATGCACTCAGCTCGTCTTTCCTTAAGTACCTAGGACAGCCCTTTTAACACACCCTTCGGAAGCAGCTCGCTCTCTCTCTCCATGGACTGTCCTCAGTCAGACTCCCACATGCTATTAAGTTC